GGAATGTTCAATAGTACAAAATGAAAAAAAATTTAAAAGAAAGATTTGCATGTTTACCATTTAATTCCTGTGTATTTCAATATCTAACACCTAAAACGTTAATTTTTACATATATATCACCTTACTTGTGCATTAAAAGGTGTATTTTACTTTTTATAACTATAAATAGTAGTATTTGATTCGATAAGAAAGATTTGGGTAGTAAAAATGTAGAAAGCAAATAGAGATTAGATATGTAAATACATAGACATTGGATGATATGTATGTAAATCGCCCAATTTAAAATCATCATAACAAATAGAGTTAAGAAAACGCTATACCTTGTCATTTTCAAGATCTTCATTCTTGAAGAGGTCAGCTTTATCCCGAAGGAACTACTTCAATTTTAGCTTAAGTTCCCTGGTGTTTTCAAGGGCCCAACAAATCAGATCAAACGAGATGCAGAGAATTGTAACTAAATTTAAACGACCCTTATTAAAACAAAAAATATCATACTTTCATAACAAATAAAAAGGGAAAATTTACATAGATACCACTTTGTTCTTATGTATTTACATATGTAACAACTATACTTCAATTTTTATATATATGACATATTACCTATGCAGGAAAAAGGTTTATTATACTTCTTAAAGTGTCCGTGGAATCAGGCATATCATAGTTGATAACGATGTTTACACGCTCTATGTCGATTCCCCTCCCAACCAAATCGGTAGCAACAAGAATCCTTTTATGTCAATCATTGAAGCCCTTGTACATTATTAATCTACAAATAACCAAAAAGAAATTTATCTAAATCTAAATGTTAGCATTAACGATTAATTACAGCTTGACATGAAGTAACCAACCGCAATCTTATAGTCATTGATCTCAAACTATTAATTGAATCTAACTTTTTGCTCGTTAAAGGAGTTTGTGAAATAAAATAACATGAAATTATTAAAATCTAGAGTTTAATTTGGAGATCTAGTATTCAAAAAAAAAGAAAAAAGTTCATGTCAGATGAATCAAAATGAAATAGAGGGATGCGTCAAATGTATTCAAAAGAAATAGAAAAAAGAAAATCTTACATGCTTTTCCAACTACTCTGTTCCACATGCCTACAAATGAAAACTTGAGTTAATAGATCAAATTGAACAGTTAAAAATTTTGAGGCTAAAATGAACGACCATACCCATTTTGTTAACAAACATGCATGAAAAGATGATACATAAATCTTTGTTATTTTAAATCAATGTGTGAAAATACGTATTTCACTTTCTAAAAATGTTAATAGTGATAATTTTAATGTTATATTAAAGATTTGAGTGTTATGTCTGTAAATATGAAAGTTTATTTGTGAGATACAAAAATACATAAGTGTGACGTGAATGTAGAATAGACTACATATAAGCAAGGTGTCTTCTCGTAAGAAAGGTTGAAGACTGGTTACAGAGGATTTCAACCTTGAAAAAGCATTACATTGGTCAGTTAAAAATAATAATTTGGACAAAAGAGATGCCCAATTTTTGTAGTGCTATTTGGCTGGGAAGAAACTCATCAAACCCCCTGGTAAAGGTAAACAATGGGAAAACAATAGAAATGATAGAAATGAAAAGGATAAAAATGAGTGTCACTATTATAGCAAAAATTTATGAAAGAAGATATAATAAACACATTACATATTTTTCAGGTGCATATTCTACAGTTGCATGACATTGTTCTTCTAGTGTCAATCTAACAAACGCAGTATACACTTTACATCTGCATGACGTTATTTTCAAAAGTAATATATAGTAAAAGTATAATAAAGTACTTTCATGACATTATTAAGCATTAAGCAGCTTCGAAAAAAATAACTTTATATGAGCTGAATAAATAATTGAAGTTGTTTTTTCATTAACATAAACCAAAAGAAGAAAAGGCAATTTTTCAATGGAAGAATAATGATGAAACAAAAAACACTTGCAAGTCCTACAATCAATAATTATAATAATAATGTTAACTATCAAACTCCAAGAACATTCTATGGCTTACCGAACCTCATCCATTACTAAGGCCTTGGCTATCCAAATCTGCAACATAGACAAAGAAAAATTTCTTCTTGCACAAAAAACCACAACTTTAGTTTAATATCTTGAAACTACAATGATAAAGGATTTATAACGTGAGATTGATCGTCTTAGAAAAGGTCTGTGAATTTGAAATCTTCTCTCTCGCACAATCACTCGATGAGCTTCTATGTTTAAAAAATTATTTTCTCAACTATTAAGAAAATGAGCATTTACATACATAAAACCCAATTTCCTTACATTTACATATCTAACAACTAAGCTTTGTTTTTAACGTTTATACCACCCAAAATTTTCATATCACATAAAAAATGCCACTATCTTAACTTCTAAAAGTGGAATACAACTTTTCATACATATGTAAGATGGCATATATATGTAATAATTAAATTTTAGATGTTAGATATGTAAATACTTATGATTTGAGTGTTGTATATGTAAATCTTCCTTAAGAAAATTGCCTAAAGCAAAGGGAGGGGAATTGCGGCAAAGTTGCCTCCCTCGTGACTCAAGGTCTTGATTTAGTGAGTGAAAAATATAGGTGGATTCCCAACTCCTAAGCTCTGAAACCCTCTGCAAGCAAAATACAAATGTGATGAGGTTTAAAGAATTAAGATAAAGAGCTAAAAGGAAGAAAGAGAGAATGCAAAGACACGTTTACCACAATCTTAGAGAGACAACTAAAAGCATTGAGTCAGTCTAAATTTTAAGAACATTAGAGGAGCATCACAACAAAAAATAGAAGAGGCATTTGCATACATATCACCCATTTCTTACGTATTTACATATCCAACTCAAGAATTTTCTTTTTCTTACATCTATACCACCCAAATCTTTTAGATCACATCAAAATTAACACCATTTTTACTACTAAAATGTAAAATACAACAGTTCATGCATAGGTAATTGAAGTTTTGGTGATAGATATAAAAAATATAAAAATTGAGTTGTATGTATGTAAATCTTCCAAATAGAAATGAAGCAAAGATGTAAAATACGGATTTTTTTACCTTCTGTGCAGAAGCAAATGCTATAAAAGAGAAAAAAGGCATATATATCACCGAGAATATCTTCATTCGAGAAGCTGAGAAAAAGGTTGTTAGGTAATATAACTTTTACCTATGAAACATTATTTCATCAACATTTACAAAACTCGGTAGCTCTTGTACTAATTCAGGTCATGGAAGAGATAATGGGGCACATATACCTTGTTCAATTCTCAAAGCTAGCTTTCATAACAGTTCTAACTTTTAAATGATACTAATACCAGCAAAAAAGTGTGCTTCAAGAGCTTCATGGTTCTCAACAACAATTAAGTGCATAATTAACTGAAAAACTTAATTATAGCCAGATATAGTATATAAGAAAACTGTCAAAACTCCCTTAACTCTTTGTAGGGGGACATTTTAGTCTTAAAAGTTATTAAATAGATAATTTAATCCCAAGCTCTTTTAATGATAGTTGAAATAGTCTTCAATGAGGACTATTTTAGCCTCAATTAAAATAGTCAATGGACTAATTTAGCATTTTTATAAACTCTGGGACTAAAATAACCCATTTTAAATGACTATTTTGCCACTTTATTGCATATTTTGCTTTTGAATCTCTTTCCAGCCGTTGAGAAAAAAATTAAACTTCATTTTACATATATGCCTCTGGCTCAGAATAAGTTGAAAGGAATTTAAAAGGTGATAATAGATCAAGAAAAAAATATCAAAAGGCAAAGTATACAAAAAGGGAAAAGGAGTATTTAATAATGGAGCTTCTTCATTCAGGTTAGCAAATTGCAAGAGCACTCCTTTTTGAAGTCTTCGAGATTTGAGCGAGTTTTCGAATGATTTACATTTACTTTGACGATGTTTGGAATCATTGTTGTTTTATATTTTCTATTTATTTATTTTTATTTTGTTCTTATGTTTTGATTTTTAAGAAAACATGTTTAGCATATTTAATTAAGATCTGATTATTTTTAAAAACAATCAAAAAGCCTAACAGTTTTTTCGAGGGTTTACGAAAAAATGATAATTTGTTCTAGAAACAAAAGAAAAACAGAGATATAAAACACTAAAAAACATGTTTTCAAAATAAAATAAAAAATAGAAATGAAAACAAAGAACAAAATCTATCCCAAATAAACACTTCATGTTGCTCACTTACAAAAAGCAAAGAGACTATTTTATATTGATAAAATCAAGTGTTGTCGATTTTCAGAACACAAAGTTAATATTGCAGTAGTGAACCAAACCAATGTGCAGAAGTTACAATCAGAGTTGAATAAAAAGCTTCATATCTTGCATAAAATTGTCTCAAACAATGTGAAGAAGCAGGATAGCCAAGTAAAACAAATAGAAGAAGACATGAAATCATTTCAATCTATCAAGGCTGCGGTAAACACATTAAAATTGAAATTATATATATGAAACTTATTATCCATTTAAATCTATTAAATCCATTAATTTTCATGATAAATCTCATGGTAGAAATCCTTAATTAGCTGAATACCTTGAAACTTCCACTGTTTACGAGCAAGCTTTACAGCTCACTCAATTTTTTCTTAAAGCAACTTATTCTTTGCAAATTTACCAAATGTATAAAAAACTAAGTTAGCATAAACGCAAACCGACATATCGGGATCGTAAAAATTGCTATCGAATCATACATAAATTTTGAAAAACACACAAATCTCAAGATGATACAAAATAACTAAACCAATGTTCCATTCTAACAACCAATGTTCAACCATCTTCACCAACGATAAACATGTGTGCCATAGTAAACACTAAAGTTTTGTGAGCTTCACAAATTTTGGTTTAGATATTAAAATAATGTTTCAAAGAAAAAAGGGAAAAGGAAATTGGCTCAGATTCATTATCATTCAGTCAACAGACAGATCCAACTACCAATTCTCAATCAGTGACACTGGAAGTAACGGTTACCCATAACAGATGTGCAGGCCATTCATGATAGCTTTCATCACCACCCAATCCAAAGTCACCAATGGATTGCATGGATTTGTTGATAAGAGAGTTGTTTATAAGGCAGAAAGAAGTAGACAAGATGCATCCACACCGTACAATAAATGTGGGATTACACAAAAATTTGAGTAAATATCATGATGGCAATCCCTGAAATCTAAAAATCAAAAGAGGGTTCTAATCAGTACATACTCCTTAAACAAGCATTTCAACAATCATTGAACTTAAATGACTATGCAACTCCCCTCCTAGTTACTTCCTCCAAAAGTCTTCACTTAATGAGACCGACAAAAACAGAAAATCGCCATTATGATTTCTATCAAATTCTCAGGAACTAATCACAAGGTTTTATGTCATGAACTTTTCATGAATGTTCATATCAAATAAAGTCAATAAGCTAACATAAATATCATAATATATAAAATTTATAAACTTGTATCCCCATATCACTAAAGTAACAAGCAATTCATGCCAATCAAACTCAGATGAAAATTTTAAGGAGTTAGCATGACATGTTTTCGACAATAGACAGCTAAGTAAAACCACCGCCATAACAAATGCCAGGTAAAAGGGAATTTACATGCATACCACCCAATTCCTATACATTTAGATATCTAACAGCTGAACATTCTAACTATGCCAAAAAAAAAAGTAAAAGACAATAACTGCATGTCAGTTACAATCCCAGGATTGATGGTTCCAAAATTAGGAAAAGCTCCAAATGTATCAGCTGACATAGATTTGGGGAAAAATAATATAAATAACAGCAAAATTTAACCTGCAAAATTTGAGAAGACTAGCTAAACTTATCGCAAACCATCAGGTGCTCACATAATGTAAATCTTAAGACAATTACCAACTAATGAACTATGGTTTATGCAAGTAAAAAATCTGACTTAAACTTTGAAGGCCAGAACCATAGAAACAAAACTAAATACAAAGTTTTAAAAAAAATATTGTAGTTAGGGCAGACGATCCAGCAACATTAGAATCAACAGGAGGCGGAACAGCCGCAACTTTAGGAGCTCCTCTGCCAAATTTCTAATTATTTGGTGGATCTTCTGGTTTAACATCAGCAAAAGCATGCCTAGCAGAGGACGTTATAAAAACCACACAAGTTCATAATCTATCAGCTCCACCAACCTGTGGAGCAGTGTTAGAAAATCATAAAATAAAAAACATGAACAATTAGCTGAGCCTTTGAAAAAATTATACTC